GAGGAAGAGAGAGGGATAGAGAGATAGAAACATCAATGAGAGAAAAAACATCGATCAGCTGCCTCCTGCACATCTCCCCACTGGGGATGTGCCTGCAACGAAGGTACATGCCCTTGGCCGGAATCGAACCTGGGATCTTTCAGTCCACAGGTCGACACTCCATCCACTGAGCCAAACCGGTTTGGGCAACAAAAAACTCTTATACCTGTTAGAGTAGCCTTTGTCAATAAGACAAGCAATAACAAGTGTTGGAGAGGTTGTGGAAAAAGGGGAACCCTCATTGATTGCTGGTGGGAATGTTGATTGGTACAGCCACTATGGAAAGCAGTGTGGCGATTCCTCAAAAATTCGAGAATAGAGCTACCATACGACCCAGCAATCCCTCTCCTGGGTATATACCCAAAAAACTTGAAATCACAAGCTATATGTACCCCTAGGTTCATTATAGCATTATTCATGGTGACCAAAACATGGAAACAACCAAAGTACCCTGCAATAATGGACTGGATGAAGAAGATGTGGTACATGTACACAGTGGAATACTAATTAACCATAAGAAAGGATGAAATAGCTCCATTTGCAACAACATGGATAGATCTTGAGAACATTATGCTAAGTGAAATCAGTCAGTCAGAAAAAGCTAAGAACTATGTGATTCACTCATATGTGGGATATAAAACTGAAACTTGTGAACACAAACAGCAGTGTGGTGGTTGCCTGAGGGAAGGGGGTGGGAGGAGGAAGGGGTCCTAATATATGGTGACAGGGGGATTTGACTTGGAGTAGTAAGCGTATGGTGTAACATACAAATCTTGTAACATAGAAACCCACACCTGAAACTTATGTATTCATGCTGACCAATGTCACCCCAATAAATTTAATTTTAAAAAGTGGTATACATTCTTACAATATACATGAGCTAGTACAGAAAATCTCTGAAGGGAACACAAGGTACTTAAGAGTGGTGGCCTCAGGGGAAGGGGCAAAAAGTCCAGAGTGGGATGGAGGCATATTTTTCATCATATGCACTTTTGAACTGCTTAAATTTATTATTAATTATTTTAGCATTTATATATATATTGATTTTTCATAAAACAATCTATTATAAAAAGTGAGAGGTGAAAAAAGCAAGGTTATAGAAGTATGAATAGTTTTATTCCTATTTATATAAAAGAAAGAAAAATATATTTGCATGTTTGAAATTTAGAAAATTTGTGGCAAGATATGAAACTTATCAATAGGACAAGGTAGGGGAAGATTTTTTTTATCTTCCATCATGCATCCGTCCTTTTGTACCATCCTTTTATTGTTAATCCTCATCTGAGGATATTTTTTCCATTGATTTTTTTTTTTTTTTTTTTAAGAGAAGAGTGGCAGGGAGGGAGGGAGGGAATTTTAAGAACTGTGATAAATAAGGGGCCTAGGAAATACCTGATGTTTATAATGAAGCCATGCTAACTGAAATGTTCTCTCCCCAGGGGCATATAACTGCCAGAGATAAGCAATCTGAAGTTTCAAGTCCTCTCTCTAAGTTGGGGAAAAGCAAGACATTGATCTCTAAGAGGCAATGGAACAGGAAGGAACAATGATGATTAGGTAGGATCTCTTTGACCAGCCAGTGGGAGCTGCCCAGGGTTCAGAGCCTCTCTTCTCTTAGGAAGGCCAGATCTATATGGAGAGCAAGGAATGGCTGCACAATTCAAACTTAAGATAAGCCTAACTTATCTTCATCGAAGAAAGTCAAATTGGCAAATTTAGGAACAGAATATCTACAACAGAAGATCCTAAATGAACTATGGTTTAGACATGATTTAAAAAAATCGTAGAACACATACAAACAAAAAATCTATATATTCATGTGTATATATACATATATGCCTTGAAAAATCTATAAGGGTATACACCAAATTATTATTTTTAAAAAATGTTTTTTTTATTTATTTCAGAGAGGAAAGGAGAGGGAGAGATAGAAACATCAATGATGAGAATCATTGATAGGCTGCCTCTTGCACGCCCCACACGGGATTGAGCCCGCAACCCAAGCATGGGCCCTGACTGGGAATTGAACTGTGACCTCCTGATTCATGGGTCAATGCTCGACCACTGAGCCACAACAGCTGGGCTACACCAAACTAAGTCATTACTAAGCCTGAGGAATAGAAACTTTAACTTTCTCCTTTTACATTTCTGTATTATTTGATTTTTTAAAAAATATATATTTTATTGATTTTTTACAGAGTGGAAGGGAGAGGGATAGAGAGTTAAAAACATCGATGAGAGAGAAACACCGATCAGCTGCCTCCTGCCCACTCCCCACTGGGGATGTGCCCGCAACCAAGGTACATGCCCTTGACCGGAATCGAACCTGGGACCTTTGAGTCCGCAGGCCGGCGCTCTATCCACTGAGCCAAACCGGTTAGGGCATTATTTGATATTTTAAATACTACTTTTGTAATTAAAAACAAAATGTAGAAAAATCTTGATAATTTTCAAAGTTTTTATGGTCACAGAAAAATATATTCAAATACTTTTCTATAAGATTTTAATTTCGACTTAAAGACTGTTTTCATAAACAGTGGCTTCCCATCTGTCTGGGTGGTTAAATACAGTTTTGCTTGGATACAGAGATAGACCTCAGAATCCTTCAAGGTTGTTTTAATCTCTGAATTTCCTATAAAGCAAGGTAAGCAATTAATCAGAAAAGCAGGGGGTTTTTCCTGACACCCAGCAGGCTGATGGTGTTACTGGACAAATTCCCCGAAATGAGGTGATGAGCCTTTTAGAAAATGGCTTCCCAGTACTCCTTGACTACTGTTTTCAGTACTGAAAGACACACACAATCTCTCGTCCTCTCTAAATCTGTTCAACCAACCTGAACCAGGCAGCTCAGCTTCAGCCAAAGAGCCAAGGGAAGCCCTGAGGCAGCTGAGTTCTGCACCACTGCCACTTAGTCTGCGATTCAGACTTGGGAGAACAAATACTGGAGAAATAAATCGCTCTGCTGTTATTAAATCATAGATGCTGGAGTGGGGATAGGGTGCAAGGGTCTGGCACCGATGCCACCTGCTACGTGCGGGAGCTCAATTATACGGTTACATTCACTACTCCTGCCAAGGGACAGGCAGGGAGGAGGGTGCTGATACAACCTTCGGTTGCCTGGGAGAGCCGTTGGCAGCTGTGGTTTTTCTAAACTGGTAAGCTCTCCTTTGGAAAGTCATGAATCTTTCCCACAGGAACAGCTGCATTTGCTCATTCTGGCTCTTCACATTTTAATTTGGTTCTGAAGCTAAGCAGCGGACAGATGACTTAGGCATCAGACACCCTCATTTAAGCCCCGAACAAACTGTCTCAGAGACTTCTACCACATGAGGCCCAAAGAAAAATAGATAATGAAATGAAGTCACTTGCCGCTGGGAAACAAATGTGGGAACATTTATGCAGTTGTTTTTATTTACTCAACTCTAAAGATTGACTGTGGCAATTTTTTGATGAGTAACACTTAGATTAACACTAATTACATAGCTATAAATTTGATTCAGGATAAGAATACGATTTAGAATGAGAATAATAACAACAAAAATCTTCAAACATTAAAGCAAAGAAATACTTCCCCCCCCTCTTTTAACTTTAAATAAATGCTATTTTCCCATGGACTTCCCTAAACACGTTTGCAGTCTAAGGAAATTAAGGAAACAAAGCTTTGGATATTTTGAAGAAACTGCAGGTTAAGCTATCATGCCAAGCGGGAGACTGAAACCCTGATCTGAGTGTCAATCTCAGGCACTTTGTGAGAGGCAGATTCTTAAATATTTCCTAGTCTTTTTTTCCTTTTCACCAATTAAATTTTCCACTTCTCTAATTCAGTGCAGTACACAATCCCCTCAGTGCCTCTCCTGGTTAAACTGTTGTTTAGAGGGAACCTGACAGGCATGTGTGGCTCCTCTTAGATTGGAAAGGCAGTAGGACTAGCTCTGGCCCACCCACTCCTGAGAGCCTGACCATGGGGACTGCTGAGGACGGCCTCTGCGGGCAAGTGAAAGGCCTGGTGCCCTGGGAAGAACACTGCTTACTCTTGGGAAACTTGGCCATCATTGCCCATGATTCCTGGTAGAAATGACCAATCAGAATTAATCCAAATCACGGGGAAAGGTCAAGGGAAAAAAAAAGATCGCCCTCCAAAAATAATGAGGAAATGAGGAAAGAAATATTTAGAATGGTATAAAAACTGATATGTGAAAACGTCTTTCTGTTATTAAATCTAACTATAAGTTTCCTAAAGTCCAGTTACCAAGTTGAATTATGTGGGATAAAGGAGAAAGGCCAATTGTAATTTCCCTCAAGAGTTCACAGCTGCAGGATGAGAGGTCCTGGGTTTGCGCTGCGGGAGTGGGCCCCTTTTGAATGAGGGCTTGGGTGGGCTGGGTTCCATGCTGGCTCTAGTTCCATTGTTCCCTGCAGAGAGCGCCTGGCCCCGTTCACTAGCATTTCCTGGTGCCTGGGGTTGTGAACTCTGATACCTGGAACCAGATGAATACCATGAGCTATTTCTGTAACGACCCATACTGTCATGTTGTCCTTGGTTTGTGGAGTCACTGAACTTTTGGCCTTGTGGCCTGTAGCCTTGTCCTCCTCGTCGGTTCCCCGGCAACACCTAAGGACGAAAGAATAGGATGTCCAAAATACTCTGGCATTGTGGTACTCCATTTGTTCCAGTTTAGTTTATAGGAGTATTCTGACAGCATATTGTGGTAGTCCATACTCGGGACTCAGTGATCTCTCAAGATTCACAGAATTCTGCCTAATTCAGCCTAGCCACTGCATCCGAAATATCATTCCACTGCATCAGAAATGATCATTCTTTCACTACTTTTTCCTGCCTTTCACCCCTAGGCTCTTCTCCACTGAAGAGGAGTTCACTTTTCTTTAGCTGGGCACATGCTAAAGAAAGAAGAACATTCCTTGGGTTGGCACAAGCCCTCAATTGGGCAAGTATCTTATTACATGTCTGAGCTTTGCAGATAATAAATAATTTGTAAAGATAATGAACATTTGTTATGTTAAAATAAACATCATTATGACCTGCTTTGCTATATAAACCACAGATTCAATCACACTGCTATGACATGCAGTACATTTTTACATTACAACCCAGAAAGTTTATGGCATGGGATTTTATTTTTGTCTTCCAATTTCAATTCTGAAGAATTACTGACAGCACTGCTTTCAATTGCTCTTGTGTATCTTTTTCAAACCAAGGAAAATAAACTATGGATTATGCTTCAACTTTCTAGTGTTCACTCCCTATGGAACCAAGTTCACACTCTCTCCGGTATATTCTATGTTGTACTTCTAAGGAGTTGCTGCTTCATTCTGGTGAACCTGCCACTGTGGTATTTATCTACCTTGAGATGGGTGCACGACTCCCACTGTGACTAATTACCAGGCGTTACTACCTACGACAGCTAGAATCACTGCCAACATCAGAAAGTCAGCAGTCTTGGCAACAGGAAATCTAAACTGGCTGGTGGTTTGGAACATACATACCAAATGCTTTCTCTGGAACTAACAGGCTGGAGGGATTCAAAATAGGTATGCAATGCGAATAAAGAGAGGAAGGTAATGTACTGAACTGTCAGCACTTAAACGGTGACAATTTAAATATTTAAAAATAAAAATAAAAAAATAAACTGTGCCCTAACCAGTTTGGCTCAGTGGATAGAGCGTCGGCCTGCAGACTGAAGGGTCCCGGGTTCGATTCCAGTCAAGGGCATGTACCTTGGTTGTGGGCACATCCCCAGTAGGGGGTGTGCAGGAGGCAGCTGATAGATATTTCTCTTTCATTGATGTTTCTAGCTCTCTATCACTCTCCCTTCCTCTCTGTAAAAAAATCAATAAAATATAAAAAAATAATAAACTGTGAAAATCTGGTAGCTTTCTTCCTGACTAGCTCAGTGTGGAAGCCAGATTACCTGGCGATGAGGCTGATAGGACCGGCCACTGGAGTCTGCTCTGCCTGCAGGAGTCTCTCCTGGTGCCGAGTTTTTCTTGTTAGTACTCGTAAGGCTGGGACCAGAGGCACAGGTGGAAGCAGCAGCAGCAGCAGCAGGGGCATCATACAGGCTACTGAGGGACACAGATGTAACTGAGCTACATCGCGATCGGGTTGAATAGCTGTTCTTTGGATGGGACACTGAAACAAATATAAGAAATATGCGGTTATATGATGAAAGAGGATGAAGGGTAAGGTTTTCACCATTTCACAAGAGCAATTTAAGATAAAGAACGCTTATACATAAAACGGGTAACAAAAAGGAAAATCTCCCTTCTGCCATTTTCCTCCAAATCCCCACTGCTCTTAGAAATAAGCCAATAGTTCAAGACCAGAGTGACTTATCCCCCCACCAACTAGTGCCTTCCTGACACTTCCTACTACCTAAACCTAGGAATAACAATATAAGCCATACATACAGTTCCTATGTGAGGAACACTCTAAAGTACAGACAAAGGAACACTCTACAAAGAAAGACAAAGGTAAAGCGTTAATCTTTTTTAAAAAAATTTGAACGATGCACAGTATAACTAATCAAGATTAGTTAATATGAACAGAACTAATCTTTACAACAAACATGTATCTTCCTAGGATTCTTTCACAAAAACAATCCCAAACTTAAAATAACAATTTAGCTGAAAAATATTAACATTTTCAATTCGAATTTTGTCAGAATTCAATAGTTTAATGCTCCCCACTAGATTTTTTTCTTGGTGTTAAGCCTGGACTAGTGCTGAGTTCACAATCACTGCCCTAGAGCCAACATTTCACTTTCATACCGAGATGGAAAGAACCAAGGAGCTGAGCTCAGGATTGGTGGCACACAAACTCTCACCTTAGAGGCACCACCCTCTTTGAAGCTATTGTTTATCACCTATTGTACGTCAGGCAAGGTAGGTATTATTATCTCCATTTTGGAGAGGAATAAAATGAGGTTCCAGAGGAATAAAATGAGTAGAGGCAAACTTGGTCTGACTCCAGAGCTCCAATGCTCTTTAAACTTCATATCATACACTCTCAACTCAACAGAGAATGGATGAAAAAAATGTTATTGCAAATTTAGGGAGCCCATCCTCAGTGCTCCAAGCATCTGCATCCACTGACTTCTTAAAGATCTCAGAGCTGCTTTTCATAACAAACAAACAAAACACAAGAGGCACGAAAGAAGAATCAGAAGAGAAGCCAACCAGCACTTCAGTCTGTAATTAGTACAGTGTGGTCTTCTCATCACCATCTCCAGTGCCCGGAATCTCTTGCTATCTCACCTTGTCCAAATGAATCAATGTTCTTCTTTAGGGTCTCTACGTCACAGGTGAACCGGGCTACTCTTCCCAGATCCTCATCATATTTACGTTCACTAACAAAGTGCTGGAAAAAGGGCAAAGAAAAGCCTCCAGGTGAGACATGCAGTACACATGGGATCTACAGTTTCTGTAGAATGAAACAGAATTATTTTCAATTGAATTATTTTTATTGCTTCAAAGTTTGCTCAATGGCCACAATATTACCAATGCTGGGTGACTGACAAAATTCAGTCATTTTCTTCAGAGCCCAAAGAGAAGTCTATTTAGGAGCTTTATGAAATACTACAGGATGGTCAAAGCCCACTAAGTATAATCACAAGAAACTGCAGAGAAAGGAGAAAGTCTTTATAGAGGGCCACTTTCCGCTATTGGCTACTCTCCACATTGTTCCATTTTATACATTTTATATAGCTCACAGTTTATAAACAGAGGCAGCAGCAAAAAAACACTCTTAAGTTACAACAATGATTCCATTTAAATAGGTGGTCTGGTTCTTTAGTAAAAACTTCCTTAGGAAACACACTTCAACTCTTTGTAAAGTAGAATTTGTTAGTCCTTGAAATAGAAACAATTTCTTGAGATGGAAAATCATTCATATGAAAAAGTCAGCTTCACAAATGAGAAGTTTGTGCTGCATAAAATTTAACCCTTTTAAGCTGACTGAGTTGAGAAGTAGTCAACCCCTTGGGTCAAAAACTAACTATACTACAGAAAGTGAGGGACTAAATACATGTCAGGAATAAAGTGTTTCTGAGGGTCTATTTCAATAAACAATTTCTAACGTAGCCTGGAATCACTTTAAGATGAAAAGGAGATGAAAAAGAAAAGTTATAACTCTTCTGGATAAAATTCAGAAGAACCGAACTCCTTAGAGCAGTCTTGGCAGTGGTCTAATTCCACTTTGGATGTTCGAGGGGTAGAACTGAATGGATCAGAATCCTTGAGATGCATCTAACAGTGAAAGGGAAAGGAGAAATAAAAATTACCGCTGGCCTTTGAAGCCCTAAAGCTTCAGGGTATATTGTGGCTCAGGAAAGCACACAAAGCTCTGTGACAAAGCCTTCAACATGTAATATCAGTCTGAGATTAAGTCTGAAACAAATTCTAGAGTCTGTTGAGCCAAAGACATAACAGGAATGACGGAAATAAAATGATCTGGAAATCAGACATTTAAATTGCATAGCACCCACTTCAGTACACTCAAATGTGGAGAGAAACAGATCCTTAGTCAGCCTGCAGAAATATTTCTAGCAGCTTTCAACCACGCGGGAAGGAGAACAGATGAAGCCTGTAAGAGCCAGAATTCTCATCTTAATTCCAAAGGGGTTTCCGGCTTCTCCCAGATAGTTGAATGAGACAGATTGGCATCACTATGAAGACGACCTTCTATAAAATTTAGTAACATAGTTTTAGTTAACCAGAAAATGGTAATTAAAAATTTGCATTGTTTTGCTATTTCACCCCAATAGAGTCTAAGTGGAAGAAGTGAAAGTAACATAACCTAGGGTTTGTGTAAAATACTGAATCAGAGTGATGACAAAGATACCTGTAAGGGCTTAGGTGATCTTCCATCTATGTTTTTATTTTACAAAGGCTGTTATATAGCCTCTGCAGCAAGTATTCCACTTAAATATAGCAATAAACCTCATGTATTCAGAAAGAACAGAAGCTAAGGGCTCAGGATTAGAGCCACTTCTCCCTTGTCTATATAGCTCATCTACACTAATAAAAGAGAAAAATGGTAATTGGCATACAACGCTACCCTTTTCATTGGCTAATCAGGGCTACATGCAAAGTAACTGCCAACTAAGATGGCAATTAACTGCCAACTAAGATGGCAGTTAACTGCCAACAAAGATGGCGGTTAATTTGCATATGTGCATGCGTGTGTAAAAGTCAATATCAATGTTTATGAATGCTCGTGAATGGGTGTGTATGAATGTGGGCTGTGTGTGCCTGTGTTGGTGCCCAAGACGGGAGTTTTCTCATTGTAACCTCAAAGCCTTACATTTAGACTTTTGTATCATTTTCAGTTGAAGTTAAACAAAGTCACAGCAAAGCACTGACAGCCTTGCCCTGACCACAGTGGCTCAGTTGCTTGAGCATCATCCCTTGCATCAAAAGGTCACTGGTTCCCCAGGAGCCATCTCATCAATGTTTCTCTCTCCTTCCACTCTCTCTAAGATCAATTAGAAAACAATTTAAACCAAACTAACTACAACAGAACCACACTCACAGAACAATTCCATCCTCTTCAAATATATGTCCTGTAGTGGACTCATCACCAACACAGCCTTATCTACAGTAATAAAAGAGAAACATGGTAATTGGCTTATGACTGCTACCCTTTTCACTGGAGGTCCCCTGCCCAGACCTTACACCTAGAAGATACAAATATAGGGTGGGCAAAAGTAGGTTTATAATTATTCATATGGAAAATACAAAAATTAATAAATAATAATATAAGAATAAATTCTGTGTTTCTCCTACACACAACTGTAAATCTACTTTTGCCCCCCGCCCCCCTTAAAAATGGAAGCATATATTGTGTTTACGGGTAGGAAGAATTAACATCGTTAAGATGTCCACACTGCCCTACCCAGTTTGTTTCAGTGGTTAGAGTGTCAGCCCTTGGACTAAAGGGGTCACAGTTTCGAGTCCCATCAAGGGCATGGCATGTACCTTGGTTGCAGGCTCGATCCCTGGCGCCCATTGGTGCGTGCAGGAGGCAACCAATTGATATGTCTCTCTCACATCGATGTTTCTCTCTCTCTCTCTCTCTCTCTCTCTCTGTCTCTCTCTCTCTCTCTCTCTGCCCCCCTTCCACTCTCTCTAAAAATCAATGGAAAAATATCCTCAGGTGAGGATTAAAAGCAAAACAAAACTGTGGAAGCTCCTCAAAAAGTTAAAATGCAATTGCCTTATGACCTAGTGATTCCACTTCAAAGAAACCCAAAACACGAATTCAAAAAGATTTATGCAATCCTATGTTCACTGCAGTGTTATTTACAATAGCTAAGACATCCAAATGCCCAGCAAAAGAGGAGTGGATAAAAAAGCTGTGGTAACCCTTGCCGGTTTCTCAGTGGTTAGAACATTGGCCCTCAGACCAAAGGGTTGCAGGTTCGATTCCCGACCCCCGTCTGGACTCATGTGGGAGCCAATCAACTGATGTGTCTCTCACGTGTCAATGTTTCCCTTTTTTTCCCCCACCTCCCCCACTTCTATTTTTTCTAAAAATCAATGGAGAAAATATTCTCCAGTGAGGGTTAAAAAAAAAGGCTGTGGTACATATATAAAATGGAATTTAATAAATCATAAAAAAGAAGGAAATCTTGACATTTGCAACATAATGGATGGATCTAGAGCAGTGATGGCGAACCTTTTGAGCTTGGCATGTCAGCATTTTGAAAAACCCTAACTTAACTTTGGTGCCGTGTCACATACAGAAATTTTTTGATATTTGCAACCATAGTAAACATAATTGTTTTATTGCTTAAAGTCTTACAAGGAGTATTACATATGTCTTTTTCCCCCACCCTTGAAAATCCCCTGGCCTCCCCTACCCCCCAGTGTCTTATGTCCATTGGTTATGCTTACATGCATGCATACAAGTCCTTCGGTTGATCTCTTCCCCCCCCCTCCAGCCACCCCGAACCCTCCCCGGCCTTCCCGCTGCAGTTTGACTATCTGTTAGAGGCAGCTCTGCCCCTGTATCTATTTTTGTTCATAAGTTTATAATGGTCTTTATTATCCAGAAATGAGTGAGATGATGTGATATTTTTCCTTCATT